CTTTCCTAGGCATCTGTTATTGACCTGTTTTGGTGATGAGATACAAGGTGAAATGGATGCTTTGACCCAGCATAGTTGTTCTTGAAACAGAAGACTGTTACTTTTTAGGGTGTTGGTTTTTTTTTAATTGCGGATTTTACTATTTCATCTTATTAAAATTTCCCTTTCTTAACCTTGGTCGCTTTACACAGTCTAGCCTTCCTAATCAATGCTCAATCTAAACATACCATGGTCATGAATAGTTAGTGGCTGCTGTCATGTATTGAGTTGATAGCTTCATGTCACAGAAAATTAGACTAAATTAAGGGCAGCTTTTTCACTGGTATGCTCTAGAAATAAAGTTTTAAGAAAAGATAAAAAGTGTGCCAAAATTTGAGCATGTATATGTAGGAAATTTGAAGTCTTACGTTGTTCACTTTGATTTCTCTCCGATTTATCCACTTGATGTGTATGCTCTGACATACTAGACTATTATTTTTAGAATTTTTACCTATTTTTCAACCTAAAGAAATACCATCTGTTATACAGGTAACTAATTTGGAAAATGGTTTTTAATATTGACTTTCCAAAACTATTTGACAAATTTGAACTTAATTGTGGAAGTAGGTAATCATCAAGTGTCAAGGTTCCAGTAACATTTTGAAGTTAGTTTGAAAATTTGATTGAGGAGTTACAATTATTACCATAATTTAGTTTAGGTACACTAATGACTTGGCACACTTTGATATCCATGTGAAATATTACCTTGTTACTGTCAGATCATGCAGTTCAACATAAAGAATTGGTAATTTAATTTTCAAATGCTTATGCATGGAGGCTTGAGTTGCCATCGGTTTTTACTACAACGCTTCTTTAGCGTAAGATGTAGGGCAGAACTGTAGCAAAGATTGTAGCTACTGCCTCATTTATACTTGCCCATATTACTCAGAAAGGTTAGAAATCTTTCTTAGAATTAAAGCTTAGATTTGCTGTAGCTTAATGACACTTGCTTGGAAGGGGCTTTTATGCACACTGGGAAGGAGGATTTTCAAGGTTCTGTACAAAGATCAAATAGCAAATTTGCCAGGTAGGGAAATTTTGTTTTCTGTTATAAGAGGAACACAATATGCAGTCATATTCAAGATCTTTAATACATGTGTAGCAGCCACAATTTAGAAAAACACAAGAATGTAAATTAGGAAGATAGTGCTTACTGCAGAGGAATAATGTGAGATTATATTGCAGAGAAATGTAATTTATTAAAAAAAAAACAACCACACAAAAAAACTCCCCAAAAGAAACAAACAAAACCCCAGAGCCATTGTTTTCATAATCTGATTACAAAATTTCCCTAAATTGGAACCAAATTACATGCATTCACTGCTCTCTTCTAACCTTGGCAGGCAGCTTGTTTGCTGCCATATAAGATCTGTTTCTCAATGATACTGCCAAACTGCAATTTGTAGAAGTTGGGCATGTAAATACTTCCAAAGATCTGAGTTTTAGTACTTTACCAAAGGGTAGTAAATGGTCTCTATTAAAATACTCATCGCTTCCAGACCTGTGTAAAGGCGTTCAAATGCTGCAGGGAGTGCTGACT